GATGCTCTCCGAGCCGGAGACTTCGGGAGACGCGGTCCTCACCTGAGCGATCCAGCCCAATTCCCCCGTTTGAAGGTAAGCGGGGAGGGCGGCGGAGGCTCCGGACATCCCCCGGCTTTGCCTGGGCTCCTTCACCCCGTCTTTCGCATCGCTGAGGGGGGCGGGGGGTGTGGGGGGGCTTCTGCGGTGCTTTTCCACTTGGTTACTTCCCTCTCCCTCCTCCCGGTGCATCCTGAAGTACCTTTCAAGCAGCGGTGGGATTGCTGCTCGGGGGGGGGACCGGCAGTGAACCCCCGCGTCCCGGGGGAATGCCTGCAAGGGGGGGAGCAGGCAGAGGGGAGCCCCGGCTGCGAGAGTTGGGGCTGGGAAGGGATTTGGAGGAGGGAGACGGAGCGGATAGGGACATGGAGAATTGCACAGCATCGGCTCCCCGATAGCCTGTCTCGGGGCGGGGGGGCTGGTCAAGTCCCACCACCTTAGCCCAGGATGAAAAACACCGCGGTGCTCCCGGCTTGGTTTTCCTTGGCCCTACAACATCTTGAGTTTCAAAGGCATGCCTATGTAAAGGAGATCATGAAAGCATCTCTCAGAGGTGGGGTGGGAAAGCTGCCCCCATCCCGTGCCATGCCGGGGCATGGGGGTCGTGTCCTTCTCTGCCCCGGGGACAGCTCGCCCTCCTCCGGGTGCTTGCGCAGCGTGGGGCTGAGCCCGGCCTCTCCCCATCGCCTCTCTGGGCATCTCACCTGGAACCACGCATCTAGGACAAAGGTTTGTTCCTATCTCATGTCCTGGCCCCAGAGGACGTAGGAACCCCCTACTCCATCCAGATGAGTTTGTAGAGACCCCCCCATCCCCAGGTCAGGCAGCAAACCCACTAGCTCCCACGCCGCGAAGCAATGGTGATGGACAGGAATCCAGAGTTGAAAGCAAGGAAGGCGATAGCACATCCATCTGTAGGTTGGTTTTGTCACTAAGTGGTTAACACAGCAGCTGGCCAGGTCTGCGCTCTCAGAGGCACATGGACACTGTTCAGTACGTTAAAGGTAGTCTGCAGGGCTGTGGGAGGGAGAGAGAAATCCCCCGAGGGAAGATGGCTTTTCATTTCCCCATATCGACTGGTTTCAGACAGGATTATTTATATTTGACATAACAGATCGCCAAACTTGGAAGGTAGTGGGGGTGTGCTCATATTCATTAAGGTAGACAGTTTTCTGACAGAATAAATTAAAGGTAAGAGAAGATTGCACTTTGAGGTTCAACAGATTGTCTTCTAGCCTAAAATGAGCAGTGAAATCAGCATAAAACCTAGATGGTAAAATCATGCGCTTCAGTCTATCTTGATGGATGCCTGTCATTTTAGGAAACCTGGCAGACATCCCGATGTTTAGAGTGCAGGCAGCGCTCCTGGATGACCTCGTTTTGAGCAAAAGTACCCAGAATGATGGGGTTTTTTTTCGTTATTGTATCTCATCTTCACTGAGTAAGCATCCGAATTACAATGCTGTTAAGAGAAAATAGTTTACATAAATTGTGCATGAACTAATCACCTGAACTAGCCTCACACCTGTATTTAGGTGCTTGCCCTGTTGCGATGGCGTGTGAAGAATGGAAGGTTGTTTGCAACCTTTTATGGTTGGTTTTCATCTAGTCTGAAATGAGCAGAAAGATGCATTACGGCTGTCACTTGGTGAAAAGAGATTTCAAACACCTTAAAGACTGTGCAGCTGTAATTAGAAGTGTAACCTCCTTCCTCTGCATGTCAGGATTTCTGTGCAGAAGGATGACAGGACCTCTTAAACGGGGCTGGTGCTCAGTAGATGTAAAGAACTTGAACAAAATCCCCCGCAAAGTGAGTGATGTTGATTTATCACCCCTCAGCCGATCGGTTCTCACTTATGAACGATGTGGGGATGTGAGGGGAGAGGAAGGAAACAGCATTTGTTCCTTTCTGCTTTCTTATCAGTGAACACAGATTACAGTACAGACAGTTCTGAAATACCTGTGCCTACCTGAGGACAAAAGAGTTGCAGAGTGTGACCAGCACCGTGGTTACTGGCTGTATCTCCGCCGTGTTTCTCTTTGCTCTCCAGCAAAGAGATCAGTCTAGCTGTCACGTCTCCTCCTGATCTTTCTCCATTGCAACTGCAGCAGTCCTCAAACCCTCGTGTAGGTGACACGAGAGTCGAGCCTGAAGGTTTGGTCTCCCAGGCTTTGCAATGTATAAGAACGTGGTTAGAAGTGGCTGTTGGTGGAATGTTGACCCAAGTCTTTCTAAAGGTATTTCCATGTCTAAAGCTGAAGAACATCTGCTGACCCTAGAGCCATACCTGAGCACCCCCTTTAGAATCCTTTAAAAGTTTTGCTGGATGCCGGATTCAGAGAGACAATGGTGCTTAATTCCGTCAGGCATTTATGTGCAGCCCAGAGAGCTGAGCTGCGTCCTCGCAGGCTGAAGAAGTCTGTGCCACTGACCTTTGGGCACGTCAGGATACGTCCTCGGTGCCCAGCACATGGGTCAGTGAGGGGTTTTTGCAGCTGGCCAAGCTGTATCTACGTAACTTGGAGCTTTTCATCTGGCTGCGCAGTGCCTGGCTGTATTAGTGCTGGTGTAAGAAATGGGGATAACTTGGTACCTCCTCACTCATCATGTTCCGGTACCTGGCTGTCGTGTTGTCATGGATATGGATAAGGACATGGCCAGTGAAGAGGTGCTTGTTGCTGGCAGGGCTCCCGCAGCCACAGCTTGTGATGCAACTTAAAACATTGAAGAAGAGCAGGGAAGGGATAGAGGAGAGGTGGCAGGTGTTAGGCTTGAATTTGCAACTCGTTCCCATTCTAATTTACACTTCCTCCCTTGTCATTGTGTTATCATCTCCTTCTCTCCTCACGATCTAATTTATTACAGTAGGCAGGATCGTTTCACCTTTTGCTTGAGAAAAAAATCATATCCCAGTACCACAGATTGGCAGCGGGGTGACAAATAGGTTGGGTGATGGACTCTGACCTTCTTCAGACCTTTCGGCCACATTCAGATCACAGCCGAGGCCAACCCAGACAAGGCTGGGACCTCAGGAACCTGCGAGCCCTGCGATCCCCGCGAGCACAGCCCTGAGCAGAGGTCGGCTGGAAACGTTAGGGAACAAAATTAAAACTCATAATAACAATTTGAAACATCCTTGGACCCTTTTCTCCCTGGAAAGTTTGATAACAGCCCACGACCCATTAATAGCAGTTCAGGGCACCAGAGGGAGGACCTGTGTGGTTCTCAAGGGGCCTGTGTCAGGGGCAGCGCAGACAGGGGTCAGGAACGGAGCTGATTTAAGCCAAAATCACAACGCCCACGATTTTGCCCCATCCTACGTGTCCAAGAGTACAGATTTCTCACTGGAGTCGGGGGGGCAGCGGTGTAAGCTGCAGCCTGGGACACTCGGGCACTGGCATCTCCCTCGGTGTGCACTGGTGCTCCTCTTGGCAGGCCATGGAGAGGAGACAAGACATGAGTCAGGGGCTGGGGGAGTTTTGTTCACCCTCTCACTTCCGACAGAGTTTTTATCTTGCTGGTTGAGACAAGCAGCTGTGATGGGTCAGAACTGGAGCTCAGCTTCATTCAGAATAATGGCACAAGATGGGCCGGGACATCATCCCCGAGTTTGCCTGGTCACAGGGATGCTCAGCCCCTCCTCGCTGTCTCCAATGCTTCTCTCCTCATCTCTTAACCTCCAGGACAAAAGCCACCCGCAGCGACACGCTCCCCCAGCGTGGCAGTTTGTGAGCTTGCCAAGCTTTCCTTGACAGCAACCCTGATTTTTTCCCCAGCTGGAAAGCACCTGCCCATGAGCTACGGGGAGGGATGCAGCTCCTGCGCCGGGCTGAGTTGAAGGTGCACGTGGCTCTGCTGCCCTGGGAAACATCTCTCTGCTCCGCAGCTTTTATCAAAGAGATGGAAACTTGTCACATCCTCTCCGCAACAATATCTGACATTATCCAAGCAATTCGCCCTTGGTGTATTTCCAGAAATAGTTAGGCCTACAGTAGACACGGGTGACATCTGGATGCATTACTGTTGCGTTCAGAAACATTCAGTAAGCAAGACAGGAGCTATTGTTTAAAGGTTATTTCAAAAGACTCCCAGCGAGTTATCTGGCTGTGCAACAAGGAAAGCTTTAATGGTACTGTGATAATTACCTTTTTCTGAAGGACATTTAATAGGAAAGTTACCACAAACCCAGCCCATCCTCACCAGGCCAGGGACCTGATCCAACCTGAAAAAGTAAGTTTTTCTCTTTATTTCAGTTCTGGTTGGATCAAGCCCAGGAAAAATACATCTTGCTGTGGCAAGAGCAAGCTGGGGGGCACAGACGGGGGATGTAGGGGAGACCACCAGCAGTTCTACTGTAAAGAAAGTCTCAGTTCAGCATAATAGGGCAGCAGGATTCACATCAGCAGGGAGGGCGAGAGAAAGAGTCCTCCCCAAAGCTCTGAAAAGAAAATAAATGTCATTAGCAGTGGATAAAGCAACCGCCTCTGAGCACCTGAGATGAGGGCGGAAGGCTCTGCAGGGAGAGGGGGGGGCTGGCAAAGTCTGCCAGCATTGGGAGGGCTCAGCGAGGCCGCTGCAGGAGACACTCTGCAGCCCACATCTTTATTCATCATGTCCCTGCTCAGTTAATAGCCTCCTTACAAAAAAAGAAAAGGAAGGGCGAGTGAATTTTTGGCAGAAGCAAAGTGCCAGCCATCATCTCCTTCCCTCGCCCCGGTGACAAGGATGCCGCTCACATGTGGCAGAAGGGAAGAGAGGTGGCTTTGCTGTCACTCACACCAGCCTTACAACTGCGCGCGCCCCTGGGAGAAATCACTCCTGCCTTCTTACCTTGGCCCCAGGGCAAACAGAATTAATTCTCACCGTTAATTTCATTCCCCTTGGAGAGCTGTGATGGGGAGGAAATCACACCGAGGTCGCCCACATCTTTCTTTCGGTTTTGCAACTGATTTTCTCTTGAGAGGGAGGTGAGGGGGGAGCGAGATCAGGGGGTGCCTGTGGAGTTATGGAGCCGCCCGGAGCACTCTGCCTACAG